GTGACATGCTATTTGAAGTTATAAAGAACCATCAAGTAGTATAATCAAGTCCTAACCTAAATGGTAATAAAGGCTGGGATTTGAATTTATGGAAATATTGAAAATTTAATAAAGAAAACCTCTTAAATGGTCTTTCAATATGAGATACTAAATAATTTGGAGGACAGAAGAAAGTCTCTTCTACTTTTTTTGCCTGTCTTTCAAGGTAAATGCCCCTGTCAACCCACCCTGATATAGATGCAAATAGATCAGTTGAAGTAGATACTTTTTCTCAAAAGGAGTACATTGAAGGAATAACAGCTTTTTAAAAGTTGCTTGTTTAATTTTTCACTTCAATTTCCTTCTTCTGCCCCGTCCTCACCAGATAGCACTAGCATTCTAGTGCTCTCATCTATTCTGATCTCAACTCTCTGATTAGCCGTAGTTATAAGTACTTATATAAGTGGGTGGCAAATTCTGCTTCATCCAGCAAAATGCTAACATTATTCTGCAGCTTTCACTCTTATTGAAGCCTCTCTTCTAATTGGATTAATGGATGTTTTCTAACCTTCTTTCCCCAGATCCAATTCTCTTCTTCTGCCTTTTTTTTTTTTTAAGGTAACATTTATATTCTCATAAGTTTCTTCAAAGATATTTTTGTCTTGGAATTCTGCCATTTCAGTTTGTGAAAGTGTGGTTTTCATTTTATTTATCAGGCTTGAAATTCATTGCAGTTTTTGTACTTGAAGATTCATGTCCTTCATTAAATCTGAAAAATCCTTTTCCTATATTGCCTCTCTCTGATTTGTTTCTCTTCTTCTGACACATTACTAGACAAATGTTGAAATTCTAATTCTTTCTTCCAGGTTTTTAAACTTTTTTTTTTAACTCCTGTTTTCTATCACTTTAGCTCTTTGTATTGCATTTGGGTAATTTTCTCCGATTTATTTTTCAGAGCATTTTCCAGCTTACTCTTTATTAAAATGGGTCTAATTTGTGTTTATTCAACTTATCTGTGTTTTAAATTTTAACTTGTCTATTTTTCAGTGATAATTGAAAGAATAATTCTATTACTAAAAGAAGTTTTATGTGAATCTTATAAAATCTCACTTTCAAAATACTTTATTATTCTGTTTTCAATTCCCACTTCTAGTCCTTGTAAACATCCTAGTTTTAAGATGTTTAAACCACAGCTATCTAGTACTCTAGTACCTAAAGTTCTGGGTGGCAATGGAGGGGTAGAGTGGGAAGTTCCTTAAACCTGAATCTGCTAACCCTTATTTATGGTGGATAGTTTGTGTGTTTTGTAATTTTGGATTGTGAATTTTTCTTCCTCAGTGGTAATCTAGTACAAACTGAAGTTGAATGTGTGTCCCTCTAGAGAGGTTTGTATGTGCTTTATTGGGGAGGTGCCCTGTATTATCACTAGCCTGAGGCACTTTTTAAGTTCTCTTCTCTAGGGGCAGATCATAGTAGTGGCTCAATTTGAGCTCCCAATCTATGTCAGGTAGGCCTTTGGTTATTAATTCTCAGAAAGATTTCTTTCACTCCTCACTGTAATATAGGCTGAGACAGACAAGTTTATTAACTCCCTCAAATAGACTGAAGAATTTCTTTCCTAGTCCACTTTTTTAAAATAAGAGGATGTTCTTTTGAGGATCCCAACCTTAGGTGGTAGTTTCAGTTCCCATCACCTCACCTGCACTCATGAAAACCCACTCATGAGGTTTCTTCTCTTGAACTGAATGGATTTACAGCCCATATCTCCTGTTACCAAGACTGGTACCTCCCCTCCTCTTCGGACGGCAAGCTTCAGTTGAAGGCTTGTTTCTGTTTTGCACATCTCTCTTATGTTTTCTTGAGAACTCAGCTATACATTTGAAAATATGTTTATTATATTTTACCTAAACTTCTAAGCCTTTAATAGTAAAAGTTCTTTTCAAGATATCCTTTCTACCAAAAATATATCATCATCCACAAATAGTGTCAACTAGTGGGAGGAAGATGCCTCTCTATATTCAAAGAGGAATATGGAGAAGGGGGCTCTGCCCTTTTTTTTTTTTTTTTTTTTTGCCTAATCCATTCATAAACTCTGAGGACTGTTTTTGTCATTCCATCTTCATTACATTCATGTCACATTCAACTATACAGGTTTTTATTCATCATTCAGCAAATCTATATTGTGTCCACCATCTGCTGTATACCAAAAATATGCTCATGTGCAGTAAAAATATACCTGATCCTTGTTTTCAGAGAGGACACAGATATTAATCAGGTAATTTCATAAATAAATGTAAAATTGCAAATATAACAAATGGCAGGCACTAAATGTGCAAGATATTGTGAGATGTGTAATGAGTGATTTGTCCAATTCAATCCAGGGAAGGTTTATTTGGGGAAGTGAAATAAGAAGCTAGAGAAGCAATAATTGTTTCAAGTAAGGAGCAGTGTTTGCAAAAGTCCTGGGGTGAAGATGCAGCCTTAAAAAAAAAGGTGTTGAGATGAAAGAGGAAATATTGAGATTTTGGTTCCAGAGAAGGCTGAGAGAGTACTAGGGACTAAACAAGGAAGACCTTCTAGGCCTGACGAGTTTTGTATTTATTCTAAGAGCCATTGATGGGTTTTAAATAGGGGACTAATACCTCTAATTTGACCTTTGAAAATATTTTTCTGACTTCAAAGAAGAGAACTGATTTGAGGAGGAAAGAATGACAATGGAAACCAGTTGGGAGGCTACTGCAGAAGACTAGATGAGGGTTACTGAAAGTGTAACTCATTTTTTTTTAAAGATTTATTTTTATTTATACAAGAACTGGGTACAGGCCAGATGCGTGGGAGGGTGAGAGAATTCACCAGAGACAGAGCGTGGAACAGAACAGGCAGACTGGTGAAATACACTGCTGAGGGGAGCAGCGGGCGAGACAGGAGAGGTCTGCCCGCCATGTGGGTTGCTCCGAGGCCAGCGGGGATGGAACCGGCACTGCAGAGGCTGCAGACAGCTTCACAGCACTGAACTCAACTGCCTGCGCCACCAGGGAGGCCCTTTGACTTTGTAAATAGGAAGGTATGGACAGATTTGAGCTTTATTTAGCAGGTAAAATAATAAGATAGGAACAAAGAGATGGATTAAGAATAACTCCAATATTTCAGACTTATATAACTGGTTGAGTGGTAGTGTTCCTTTGCTGAGATAGGTAACAGTTCAAGAGGACACATTTTGGTGGAAAGGCTATGGGTTTTTCTTTTGGACATACTGAGTTTGAGGTATTAAAAAGACCTAAGAAGAAAATATCAAGAGGAAGTTAGAAATATAGATATGGAGCTTGGAGAAGAGATCTGTAGATAGAAATATGTGAGCAATTTGCTTTCAGGTGACATTAGGTGAGATTTTTATAGAGGAACATGGATGTAATTGGTGATCTTAATGAGTGCTCCTTTGGTGGCAGGATGGGATGAGAAGCTCGAAGTAGGATATAAAGGGAGTAGGAGATGAGGAAATTGAACTAGTGAATTTAGGCAATTTTTAGGGAAAATTTGACAATGAAGTTATGTAAGGCTTGAATTAATTTTGAAAGGAAGTGTGTCAATTATGATTGGAAAGCAAAACCTTTTAAAATAGAAAGTCAGTAGAAAAATACTAAAATAGGGCCTACCCAGTGGCGCAGCGATTGAGCGCTGGGCTGCGAAGCTGCGCGCAGCCTCTGCAGCACCGGTTCGATCCCCGGCTGCTCCCCGGCCACCGGAGGAGGGTCCCGCATGGCGCGCAGACCTCTCCTGCCGCCCGCTGCTCCCCTCAGCAGTGTACTTCAGTCCTTCTGCCTGCTCTGCTCCTTCTGTCTGCTTCTTCTCGCTTTGGCTCTGGTGAATTCTCTCACCCTCCCGCGCTTCTGACTGTACCCAGTGCATGTATAAATAAATAAATAAATCTTTAAAAAAAAATACTAAAATAGTTTATTGATAGTGAAATTGTGACCAAGATAGAGATATAGGCTGATATAGAAAGGACTTGAAGTCTCTGAACCAATATACCAAAGTGTAATAACAGCTAACATTTATGGAACTCTCCCCATTTTCCAGTTACCATTCTAAATGCTTAGTGTGTGTCAATATTTTATAAGATAGGTATGTTTATTTTCCCATGCAGGACATGAATTGGCCACTGGATACATGAAATAACTTACCAGGATAGTTTGGCTGAGGAGCTCATATTTTTAACTATGATGCTATACTGCTTCTCAGTTTATGGGCTCACACTACAGTACAGATATACTCAGAGATATTCTGACTGTGGTTTCAGACCACTGCAATAAAGCAAATATTGCCATAAGCAACTCACAGGAATGTGTTGTTTTCTCAGTGCATATAAAAAATTATATTTATATGATACTATATTCTGTTGTGTTTGAAATAAGTTTGAAATATTATAAGAATTACTAAAATGTGGCATGAAGACACAAAGTGAACATGTACTATTGGAAAAAAGCACCGATAGACTTGCTCAATGCAGGGTTGCCACAAACTTTCAATTTGTAGAAAAACCAAAAATACTGTGATGCACAATCAAACAAGGTTTGCCTGCATATGTATCATCAGTGGGCCACAATATGGGCCCATCCATCGGTAAAGACTGAAAATGTTATTGGTTATAAAATCACTTTGGGACAAAAATATAAATTTTTATAATTTGCTGACTCAGTTTGTTAAAACTCCTTGGTTAAAATGCCAAGGCATAAGTGCAGGTGTCAATAGACCAGCTTTGGCTTTAATCTGTGGTCCTCAGTAAATATGCACACATTATTTGACTGCATCTGTAACCACACCGTGAAGCCACAGCTGAGAGTATAGGTAATCAGTGGAGGTAATCAGAGCGCTTCACAACAGTCTGAAGCCCCTGATACCTCCTTGCCACGATGTGTGATTTGTGAGTTTCATTGATGAATGTCCTGAAGTGAGTGTCCATTTTTGGCTCCTTGGGGTCTGGCTTTAACTACAACATGTGTGTGTTTTCTTTTCCTCCTAAGGATTTAACAACACAGAGAGAACGTGTGATAAAGAGTTTATTATACGGAGAACAGCCACCAACAGAGTGCTGAATGTCCTCCGTCACTGGGTCTCCAAGCACGCACAGGTAACTCAGTACCCTTGTGAATGACTTTCAAGGATTTTTTAAAAATCAACCTTTTTGGTTGTTAATTGTCTTTCAAATTGTGTTTATTGAGGCAACTTTGGTAATATTTTATCTTTGGAGATTATAGGTTTATGCCTCTACAAATGTATATTTTTACATGGTGGAGAATAGTCAACATTTTAGGTCATTACACATATAAATCATGTCCTGACTCTTTCAAGTTAGAGCTTGAAGACTTGAATTGGAACATAAGAAGGGGAAAAATAGGAGTGTATGCATACAAATCAAAGTAAATGCACATGTATTGCCAATACCCACTGTTTCAGATCTACAAATGACATAACATGGGGCGGGGGAGGGTGATACAGGATTCCCCCTTCCCTCAGCTCCCAAAGCACCCACCTGTGGGCACAGGATCCATAACAGGGCCACCGAACTGTGCCATCCAGGAGCATCCTCCCTAGAACTCTGTCTGTAAGTGCAATGCTGCCAGCTGCAGGGATGTCCCCTAGAGGTAAGCAGCAGGTAACCCTGGAGGTGACCAGCACTCTATTCTCAGACATTCTGATAACCGGTCAGGGGGTGTTTTCTCAACCTGATTCAGTAGATATTTACCGTATGCACTTTGATGAATTCGGCTTTTTAACTTTACCTTGTCTCTCATTGATGGAACACCTACCTATATGTTATCTGTGTATTTTCAGTGTAAATTTGCTCAATTTTTACCCATTTCACAATACAAAGCAATGCCCTTTTGCCTCATTGCTTTGAAGCATGAGTGTGCTCTTCCTACCTACTGCAGGTAACAGGCAGAGTACCGGACTTGTGTCTGGCTAGCGCCCTGCAGAGAGAGTTTTAGAGAGACAAAAGGGGGTGGGTCCTATGTGGCTCAGATCAGATGTAAAATATGAAATGTGAGTTAGCTAATGAGTAGAGAAACAGGCAAGGCATTCTGGTTTCACTTCATTACATTCTCAGAAGTCAGCATGGGCTGCCACAATGCTTTTGGTAATTACAGTCTATCAGATAGGCTCACAGAGGGCCAGGCCCTTGAAATCCCTGTGAGAACAGAATTCACTAATTGGAAATGGTGGGTTATGGGTTGGATCACTAGCAAGCTCATAAGAAAGTTTAAGTATTAATTTTAATGGAACAGTAAATATAGCACATTAAATACAGGATGCAAAATTTTTATCTTATACATCTTAAATAAAAATGGATCAATATGACTCAGGTTCCGAGAAATATCCTGAATGTATTGGAAATGACTAGTCCCTCTTCTCTGTTTGTTCAGCAAACTGCTTGTAAGTACCTTTGCCATCTGCAAATAGAATATGATAATAAGATTTCTCCCATATTTGACCATTCATCCCATTCCTCTCTGGCATTTTGACTTGGGGCCTTGACTTATAATTTCTGGGGCCCACAGTGGCTTTGGAAATGCAGCGTAGCTTTGAGAGAGAGACCAGGCTGAGCAGATGCTGCTCCACTTTCCCCCCAATATCAGCTTGGTTGGTGCAAATTCATGCCCAGACTCGTGTAGTCATGCTATGAATCAGAGGCCTGGTTTAGCTGCCTCAGCTTCCCTCCTTCTTCTAAATCTTCCCTCCAAAACCCTCTAGCCTTTCTTCCTTATTTGCCCCACTTCCCTTTTCTCAATGCCCAGAGCCCTTTTTTTCTAATGATTTCAAACAGGAATCCCAACTCATTTATGAATCTTATCGAAGTGAGAGAAGTACCACAAATGCATCTTACAATATGCTGGAAAAGCACTATCATCTGACCAATAGCTGCATTGCAGGCATCAGTGCATCCAGCAATATTAGGTTGAATAGCACCACACTGCTGCAATAGAAAATGGATGGATGTGAAAATAAGGATCTCTTTATTACGACTGTATTTTGGCAACCTTTCATTCGAATCCCTAAAGCACCCTGTTAGCTTTTGTTCAAATAGTTCAGATACTTTGCAGCCTGTTACTTCAGATGTGCTCAGACGTGGGAGAGCATGGTCCTCAGTTCCAGTTCGAGTGGCCACCCTGGGAATCTCCACTTGTTGACCTTTGTTGGACTGGGAGTGTATATTGGTGGTCCAGAGTGCTCCGGTATTCAGTCTTTTCTCCTGACATGGCTGTTGGGTAAAATTTAGACCCAGATATGCCAAAGGAAGTTCTTCCCACTCACTCATTTATCTTTTATACCTTCCCTGACATCTGTGAGGAAATCATGGTTGGCTTCCAATTGTTCTGGTATAAACTCATCCTTGTACATCCTGCCCCTTCCTCATCCCGGTGATCTCTCCCTCACCTTCTGAGTAAGCTCTTGACCTGTAGGACATTTCTGCAATGCTTCCACTTATGGTCAATTGTTAGGCCATTTTTTTTTTCTGGTTTCCCTTCTTTTTACTGACATCCATTTTAACTAAGACATTTGGGTTCCAAGATGAGCAGTGCGAGCAAGTCCAGGTATGCTCTTGGTAAGGGGCTGGGGAACAGTTGGGGTACACAGAGTTGGTTTCAGCTTATGGTGCTGGAGACCATGGCATGTGCCTGCCACCTCCTCTCACTGATGGGACATAGACTGAGATGCTTGAGTGCAGAAGAGGTGTGAGTGTTACCTGGACTCAATGGACTCTATGCAAGTGACTACTGTGGTGCCTAAAGGAGGAGTAACAACTCTTCTTGGGGTCTTTATTCAAGTTTACCTAAAGGTACTCTTTTGGCATATGGCATTAATAAAAATATTAAAAGCCAGAATTAAAAACGGACTCTTCCCAACCTTTCTTTTTCCCTCTAGTCTTCATCATTGTCTTGAAAGGTACAATCCATATTATTAGCAACCTATATAGAAATCATGGAAAACACAGAATCTGTAAAAATTACCACTTTTTTTTTTCCTGAGAAATACTTTTTACCCCCTGTGGTACTTCTTTCATTTTAAAAAGTACTTTTTATTGAGTTAATATTATTTACATCATTTTTTTGCATTTTGGGAGTGTAGGAGCTCCCCCTTCAGATGTTGCCCACCACCAAAGACCCCACAGTCCACCTCCACAGACCTTTGTGCTCCCTCCCCTTCTTTTTTTTAATTTTTTAAAATTTTATGTATTTTTTACATCATTTTTCATTTTTGCACAATGTGTGCATTTTCATCTTGGTTATAGTCCCCATACAATTCCCACCCCCCTTGTTTTCATCCTACTCCCTCCTCCCCCTCTGTAGTATGTCTCTGGTTTATTCTTGTTCTCATCCCTTCTCCCTCCCACCTCCCCGCCTCTTGTTCCCCCACCTCTGTTGCCTGAATTCCACAGTCAGCTTTCAAGGGTTAATTTTTTGGTTTGACTTTATTTCACCCTTTGTTTTGAGAAATGTGCTTTAAACTAACTCATTCTCTTTTGAAACTGAGACATATAAACTTGGGATCTATCTAATTTCAAGGTTGCGGGGGTATTATTTAAAATTCTCACAAGCCCAGCTGTTCAGGTTTAGAGGCTGTTTTAGCAAGTCATTCAAATGCACAGTCATTCGTTAGAAAATGATAGAACAAATTATTTCATGCATGGCTTTTTTCCTTCTCACTGAGTTGGTGTCATTCATTGCCATTTGCCTCTTCCCAGTTATTTTTGTTCTAACGTATCTTCCACATTTTACATTGTGCCTTCTCCCAGTAGCCTCCCACTTCACATCTGCTAAATTAATTTCCCAAACTGCCAGTTTTAGAAGAATTGGATACTTATTACCACTTTTCTCAAAGTCTTGTACCCTCCCAGGAACTTTTGTCCATTCATTCATTTTAAGGACCTACCAGGATTACTTCTTCTTACCCAGTATGGGATTTAATTATATCTAGTGTTACTAGCCTTTTTCTGATGCATAAAAACCTATGTGATCGATAGGTATGTATTTCCTATAGATTCTCTTCCTCTTTGAATTTTCTAGAACCTTATGAGTAATTAATAATTCATAATTTTGAACACATAACCGAAAGTTTAGATTATTATAGTATGGCTTTTTTAGGGCTTGATTCCATTCTTAATGCTCTTTCCCTGTTTTCAATTGGGTTGTTCTTTTTGTAGTACAAATAAAAATTCTTTTAAACTATTTTTGTAGCCGATGATGGGAAATGCTGAAAAACCCTACCTTTCACTTTTGCAATGTGAGAAACCCTGATTCAGAGTCCTGGTGCCCAGAAAAGGCGCATAGGCAGCAGATCGGGGTGGTGGTGGGTAGACAAGGCCGAGCAGGTGCTGTGCACAGCCTCCCATGCAAGCTTATTTAGCCAGCACAGTCTCCTCTGGGATCCGGTCTCAATATTCAAGTTCACAACAAAGGCCCCCACCCTCAAAAGAGCTGCAAACTACACTGGTTTAGATGCTTGCTGTCTGTCATTCATTAAAATGACAACTCCAGACCTGTTGATGTTGACTTGCATTGATCTTAGGAAGGTCATTCAGGTCCTTGCATCTGTTTCCCTAGACAAAATGGTCCATAGCTAACCTAAATCTACCTCTCAACGTAAATTAATTTCTTCATCTTCTGTAATCAAAGAAATCAGAAAACAGTAGCATGCTTTTCCTTTTCTCGAATATTATTAAGTCAAACCCTGCACTCTTATTTTTGAGCCTGGTATATCCTAAGCCCCTTATTTATGAGCCCTTTGTTCCAGGTTTTAAAATTACTGATGTACTTTTACACCACTTCTGCGGTATTTCCACCTTCCTTTTAAAAGCAATGACCACTGCTAGGAATACACTGTACTTATTACAGTGAGAAAATTACTGTCATAATTCTCTTTACCCTCAAATTGTGTTTATTGAATCAGATTTTCCTGGTGTCCTAGAGTCCACTTGGCCAGACGTAGTATATTACTAATCATTACCCTGCTCTCCTGAAAGAATGAATGTAATTTCTGAAATGCCTAAGCCATCAATAGGGATTACATTTAAAGTGTTGGAGACTGATTTACTGCCTCATATTTTTTTTTGGTTGCTTGATCTAGTCTTATTAATACAAACTAGTTTATTTGGCCTTGAAACCCAAGTCTCAAGATGATTCTCAAACAGTTGTCAGTATTGGTGGGAAATAGTTCCAGATTCAGCACCATTTAATGCATCATATTTGATGCCCAAGACACCAGTACTAACTCCCTGGTCGCCACTCTCTCTGGAGTGTTTGTGTGGTATAGCAGTTAAAAACTCAGGCTTCAGCCGACATTGCCTGGGTTCAAGGTCTCCAATTGCCACTTGCTACCTGTGTGGCTTTGCACAAGATGATTAGATTCTCTCTATTATATAACCAATTATGTAATAAAGCATTTAAACCATCTCCTAGCATGTGGCAAACTCTTACCAGATGATAATTAGCTCAGGAGTTCTTCACTCACCTAGGGAAAACATTGGCTTTTTTAATCATTTCTGAATGTCTGAGTCAACAAAATCTTGGTCAAGTATTTTCATTTTACACATCTCTCCAGAAGGATTTCACTGGTTGCTTATTTTTTTCTTCCTCAGCATTTGCTGTGTGCCACTCTCCATTCTAGACACACAGTTTGCACTGTCTCCTCCTGGCTGGTGGTTCCCTGATCTGCATTTCCAGTCCCAGCCCATCTCCTAAGACTCAAGTGGGCACTAACCGACTTTCATCTGTGTTTAGGTCTCCCCACCCCAACCAGGCCTCTGTCCCTGCATTTCTTTGGTTGATGTTTCCTTTACTGCTCTGCCTCTCCCCTGGAGCCATGTATGTTGAGGTTCTCAATAATTGTTAAAAGATTAAGACCGATGGTCTCATTTTAGAGATTGAAATGTCAACGTCTCACATTTTCTGGGCTCTCTGTGAAAGCAGGCTGATGTCTTTTTTCTAATCTGTCTTCTCACCTCTGCTTCATGAATTGGAAAACAAAAGCTAAACTAAATAAGCTGCTTCTGTGATAACCTCAGTGAATGTCTCAGGTACTCTTGGGTGCTCCAGTTGAGACACTCAAGGTTCTCTCAAGTGGAGCATGAAGCTTCAGCACACAGCCTTTGCATAATAACCTTCCGCACACAACCCTCCACACCAGCAGGCCAGGTCCAACCTAAAGGAGATGCTGACTCCCTAGGATCCGAACGACCCAGGAGCGCCATCTTGTGGGCGCCCGATTGCTGTCTCTGAAAGGAGAGATTCTGCCACCATCTAGCACTCTCCTTTTCCCATTTCAGGGCCTGGGGAAATGTAGCCCAAAATTAGGTTCTAGATAATTATAAAATGACTGTCAGCCAGATTTATTCTGGATTTAAACAGGACAATTGTCTTTTAACTGCTTCAGATTTCTTTTTATTGAATCGTGACTGTGTTTTTAATAGGAATTTTTCGATGGCCAAGTCTGCATTTTTACATGCATTGTTAAAAAAATAAAATTTTACAGTAGGTAATAAAGCAAAGGATTCAGATTTTTGAGTCAGATATTGAGGAGTTGTTTTCTACACGAGAAAAAATTTTAATGAACAATGAGTGTAAAGTGTGAGCTACTCCAAGTGTAAAATCATGGGACCATCAGCATTAGCATCAGCAGTAGAAAAGCAGAATCTCAATCCCCATCCCAGACTGGCTGCATCAGTCTCTGCAGTAATTTCTGGGTACATGATAGTCTGATGTAAAGATGTAAAGAACTCTTACTGGGGCCAGACGGAATACCTGTGCACTGGTCCCCATGCTACCGTCTCTTTAACCATCTCATCTCATCTCAGCTCATATAATCACAACTGTTTGGTCTCAGTGGCTAATGTATGAAAAGAGAACTTGGTTCTGACCTTGTCAGAACCAGAGGAAGCAGATGTCAGCAGAGGAAGAACTGAAATCCTATATAAGAAGTCACTTTGAGCATTGTAAAAACCTGTGCAAGAGTGAAGGAAAATTACAAGGGAGAATTCTGACATTTCACACTCAGCTACCGTGAGCAATTCTGCTTTATGTTCAACTACGTCATCAGTAGAGTGAACATTCTCCATTACTATTCAGCACACATTTAATAGTGTCTGGGTAGTTTCACCAAGTATTCCAAAGGATGGTCTTCTCAGAGCTGAGTATAATAAAATTACATTCTGTTTTCCTTAACAAGACCTTTCAAACAACTTGCTTCCTGAGGTCTTAGAAGCCCCCTGTGGAGCCCAGTATGGGGCACAGTAGGTGCTCAATGATGCTTGTTGATTAAACTACTAATTAGTCCTCAGCTATGTCGACACACTGACACACTGGCCTGATGTCCTTCACACTAATCCATTTATGATAATCAGATTATTTGCATCATTAGAGACTCAACACAGCTACAGAAGGACCAAGTTGTCTAATAAATATCAACTATTCATTAAGAAAACAGTCAAACATGTGGCTGACAAACATGTGGTAGTATATTAATATATAGATGAGATTGGAACTGTTTCCAAATATCATTCTCTTTACCTTGCAATGGGTAGGAGGTAGGACAAATAAAAAAAAACCAAAAAACTGTACTGAGATATTTCTCTTTTCTTGCATACATTTGAAAAAGAAAAATTAGCCAAGAAGTTGTTGGGTAGTAAGTAGGTGAAATTTTAGGAAGACATAATCTTCTAAAGCCCTACAACTGATAAAATATAGTATCTGAGTTGCTGTAGGTCCCATTGGCTCCTGTTCCCAAAGAAATGGTAATGATTGTCAGAGAGTGAAATACTGAGAAAATTTGTTACACACATCTCCTCCAAACTGAGCACAAAAATACTTAATCAAATTAGATTAGAGTTTTCTACTGTCTACAATTTGTGAAATTATGAACATTTTTGCTTCTAATCTAAATGTAGTAATGATGTGCTGTTCCCTTTTTATAGAATTCATTGCAATTAACAATGTTCTCTGTAATTGTTTAAAAAAATCAGAAATGTCAATACTTCAGAATTACTTAAAGTTAAAATGTAGTTTAAGTAACTTTATACAGGAGGGAAAATAAACACTTCTGCCTGCACATACGAAGATAAAGTCTATTAGAATAAGGTCCTTGAAAGCAGAACTTTGAAGCATGCATTTCACTTTTGAATACCTAACAATCTCAGGATGTTTTATATGAATACATTTAATAAAAGAGTATGAGAAATGCTGCTTTATCTTTTGATTCTTTTTTTACCTTGAGAGTTTTTAAATCGGGAGGATAAAAAAATGATATACATTCAAGTTGCTAATAGTTAACATGTTTATCATGTTTGTTTTCTCCTCTACCCCAGAAGAAACAAGGACCTACTCTTAGGTCAGTAAAATGACCAAATTCAGGACACTCTAACTTAATACAATGCTCTCAGCTCGTACATAATCCTAGCTCTTTTATTCCCTTGCATTTATTAGTTGGAGAGCCACTATAAGGAATAATTTTCTCTTCTACCCTCTTTATGGATGTATCTATTCATGTATTTATTTGTAAACATCAGTAGAGACTTGCAGGTTCTTTTATTTCAGTTGGATATTACACATCCCCAACATCCATTTTGATGCCCATATTGTCCAAACTTTGCTCAGTGGATGTTCCTCAAATCTCACTCCTGTGTGTTTTTTTCATGGCCCCATCAGTTGTGGGCATCATTTATTCTTTAACTTTTAGCATATCTATATTGAAGTTCTTCATTCAAGTCACTGCCCAAATGACAGATTTTATTCTTGCAAAAATCTTTTTTTGCTTTGTTGTTACCTCTGTGCCCGATCTTAGTTATGGTCCAGAGGAAAACCAGATAATTTGAGTATCTCCTATAATACAGTTAGTTATGACAGGGGGAATGATAGGGGCACCAAGGTAAAGCTCCTTCCTCCACTGGGTCAACTAAGAAGGCTCCTTGAAGAATGTATATCACCTTCTGTATCTGCAAGATGAGTAGAAATAAATATGGGCATAACAGTGTACTGTTCTAGGCTAAGAGAGGCACATATCTCTTTGAAGAAGTCTCATTCCCCAAGGAGCCTGTTGGAAATACCAACAACCAGGCCCCATCCCAAGCAAATTAAATCAAGATCTCTGGGATGGGTGGGAGAAGCATCTAGGTTCCATGAGGAATGCTGTTACATGTTACAGAGCTAAACCCTTCAAAACTAAATTTTAAAAAGATTTCATTTTATTTTGTAGGATTTTGAACTCAACAATGAACTAAAGATGAATGTCCTAAATTTACTAGAGGAAGTTTTGAGAGATCCAGATCTTCTACCCCAAGAAAGGAAAGCCACAGCGAATATCCTGAGGTAAAGGCAACTGTTGATGCCTACGAATGATGTTGTTGATTTGTGCTGTGTTCATAGAAAATAAGGTTCCACCAATCCAGAGGGGGATACATTTTTGATGCCGGTGGGCAGCAGGGATTCTGTTTTCACTGGTAAAGTGATGCTCATAATCTTCTATTTCCTGGGGCAGGAAGGGATCTGTTGGTTTAGGAAAACTCGGACTGGGTGATGTAACTTGTGTGGAATGCAATTGGTTCTGTTTTTGTGGGCAGACAAATGTGTATGGTTTATTGTAGAACCAACACTGAAAGGAAGAAGCTCTGATCTTCTGAGAGTTCAGCAGGCATTGCAGAGAGATTTTTTTTCCTCTTGTGGTTTCTAATTGTTTATCAAGCACTCATGTTTACGAGCAACTAGTATTTCTGTGAGAGTCTTATGCTAGATCTGTCTTCGGTCTGGAAACTGCTTTGGATTGAACTGTTTCCCCCCAAACCCTCAAAAATATTCAAGTCCTCGGCCTCCCCAGTGGCGCAGCGGTTGAGCACTGGGCTGTGAAGCTGCCCGCAGCCTCTGCAGCTCTGGTTCGATCCCTGGCCTCCTGCGAGGGTCCCACATGGCGCGCAGACCTCTCCTGCCACACCCGCTGCTCCCCTCAGCAGTGTACTTTGTCAGTCTGACTGTTCTGCTCCCCACTCTGGCTCTGGTGGATTCTCTCACCCTCCCATGCTTCTAACTGTACCCAGTGCTTGTATAAATAAATTAATTTAAAAAAATTTAAGTCCTAACTTGCGGGACTGGTAAATGAGATCTCATTTGGAAATAAGGCCATTGCTAATGTAATTGGTTAAGATGAGGTCATTGTCTTGACAAGGGAAGAATTCAATGTAGAGATCAGAGTTAGGCAGAAAAAACAAGAGATTTATTAACACATGAATTAGGACAGGAGAGGTTTCTGAGAAGAGAGGGGTCTGAAGTTGTTAGCCACTAGGGGGCAAGAAGCAGGTGTTTATGAGTATAGTGGGCAAGGAATGGGATTATGGCCATTGGATGTCTTGGCGTTGTGTCCCTTGCTGATTGGCTGTGGCCCGTCAGGTTTCCTAGGTTACTGAGGCCTAGTGGGTCTCCCAGGTTTCCTGGCCTGCTTTCTCGAAATCAGCTTTGGTCTGTAGCTGGGTCAAATCAGCTTTGGTCTGTAGCTTTAGCACTGTGATACTGTGTTGGTGTTCTGAACATTCAGTTTTTACTGGGTTGAGGGCACCTTGACTTCAACCAATTTTCCCTATTCAGATTGATAAATGGCGCTTAGTGCACTTTGGCTTGGGGAGGGGTACCTGGTTCCAACCGATTGTTCCTTCTTTATTTGGATAAATGGGCTTAGGACACCTGGGCTTGGGTTTCCCCCTGATTCTAGTTAAGTTCCTGTATCCATTTCCTAACTTCCTCATTCACTAGAGTAGGATGGGCCCTCAATCCAACATAATGATCTCCTTATAAGAAGTTGGTTCTTTCTATTAAAACATAGATATTTAAAAACTACATTTGACTGAATAGCAGGCAGGGAAGTTTAGCTGTTCAGACTGGGAAAGACTGTTAGGATCGAGCAATATGAGGTCTTCAAGTTGTCCTTCTCCCTTAAAACACCCATGCCAGAAATTATCAATCAATTCTGAGAACTTTGCTTGCCAGTAGGTGAGCTCAGAACTCAATTGACTGGCATGACCAGTGAAGTGAAGTTGGTATTTAAGATGAATCCTATTTGCCAAAATACTAATTAGTGATGATTCTTCACAGAGCATATGTAAGATTTACTTAAAGACTATCTCAGATCTTTATAATTTGACAGACTTAAGATGCACTGATTCTCTTTGCTGAATAAATGACTGGGAATTATATATATAACGCCTATATGGAATAGAAATTTCAGAAGATGGTGCAGCCTGGGAGCATAACACCAAGCAGTGTCTGATTTTAGCTTATGCAGGAATTCATAGGTTTAAATCTTGGATCAACCCCTTTCAACTGTCAAGTGTCTTAACTCTCTAAACCTCAGCATCTTTATTTATAAAATGGGGTTGATAGTAATAATACCTACCTCTTTAGGCTGTTGTGAAGATCACTTGATGTAATATGTGAAAGGTGGTTAACCTTTATGCTTCATACAATGCCTAAAGCATAAATAGGCATTTATGATATTACTGATAGCTGTTGTTGTTATATTATTGCTGTTATTATTATGAAGCACTGATGCTAGCTCATGGGAAGTTTTCAGCCATCGAGGAGATATGGCCCAAGTGAAGCCAGGCTAGATGTTAAAATCTCAACTCCATCATATACAAAAATATTATAACACTGTAATCTTTAAAACCCTAATTATGATATTAAAACTCACTTCAATGTTGAATAAAAATGTTCACAATATTATAAAATCATTCAAATGTACACTTTAAGTGGGTGAATTGTTTGGCATGTGATCACTTCTCAGCCTTTGGCTAGGATCATCTATGATATGTGAATACATCACAATAAAACACTCCATCATCATACCCCACTTACTGCTTTTTTGCTAAAAAACAAAAAAAAAAGTCAAAACAAAAAACCAGTTGCACTGATAGGTTGCCCCTAGTACCCATTTAGAGATCTGTTCCCTTGCAACCTCTCCCCAAAGTGTTCTAAATGTTTCAAACATGTGCTCAGGAACAAACCCAGTCATTTTTTGCTTTAGTATCCTTATTCAAGGTCACTACCCCCAGGCCACTGGCGAGAGAGAGAGAGAGAGAGAGAGAGAGAGAGAGAGAGAGAGAGAGAGAGAGAGAGAGAGGCCTTGTCAGTCCCACCTGTGAACACCACAGTTTGTCAAGAATGCTGCCTGACACTCTTCTAAAGTTACCATTTCCCTACCAAAAAACAGAGAGAGATGTCACTTCCCCCTCCCCTGTGCCACCTGGGCCCCAGAGCAGTCTCATTCAACCCAGAGTTGTGCAAACAGCTCCTTTGGCTCCTGGTTCCATGCATTTCACAGAGAATTCAAAGTCCACCCACAGAGGCAACCAGAGAATAGATGTAACACTATTCCACCCATTTTGCCATCTTAACAATCTTTCTTCCCATGAGGCCAAAAAAAAAAAAAACCAAAAAAAAATCTTTGTCTAGCCCTGAGTATATGAACTAAGATAGATATCAGTGGAATCACTAGCCCATCAGCTGTGCACTCAGACCTTGAATTCTAGTTTGGGTCATCTGGGTACGTGGGTCGTTGACTTTACCTTTACTACCCAACAAGCACTGAATAAATTTGTGCCAAAAATAATCTTGGTGCATGTAAGCTACTGATCCTTGATTGAATTTCCCCTGAGTAGTAATTAATTCCACTTGGGGCTTAAAGGGCTCCTGCCTGCTTCATGAGGTTGTGGTAGATGGAATAAATGATATATTAATGATATATTAATTTACCTTACCATATCAAATATTTATGTTAATATATGTTAAATGTATATGTTTATATTTTTAAATATATGTCAGAATTATTAGAAAGTAAAATAGGAAGTATGTCCTAGATTCACTGTCAACATAAAGGAATACCATCATCCATTCATAGTCTAACTAACTGACCTCAGAAACTACGTAACATAGTTTTTTGTAGACAACCGGGATGACAAACTGAAAAGAAAGAGAGATTGACTTCTTGAGTGGTCAACTAGAATGGGCTCAAATCATGAAAAGGTGACATCACAAAGCCCAAATAGCATCAATAGGCTCCTGTGAAGAAAGAAAATCTTAGATAATGGGACAAGACTGTACCATGGAACATTAGAGTAAGATGATTCAGAAGAGGAACATTTGAACATTTGATAGAAGCTAATTAACTTCTTGACTATCTTTCCAAGTGAAGGCTATTGCTCAGCCTCATAAAAAAGATCTTTCCCACAGGTACAATAATTATGTGGCCACTCATCTTTCTCCAAGTAACTAGATGACAAGTGGAAAGAATGGCCTACGTTTGGGGAAAAAAGTCACTTTTTCCCCTATGTGTAACCGTTAAGTGTGACTTGATCACTGTTGAAAAGAGAGCTGTATTTGTTCTTTTTTTTAATATTTATTTATTTATACAAGCACTGGGTATGGTCAGAAGCGTGGGAGGGTGAGAGAATTCACCAGAGCCAGAGCAGGGAACAGAACAGGCAGACTGAAGAAACAAACTGCTGAGGGGAGCAGCAGGTGCGGCAGGAGAGGTCTGCGTGCCATGTGGCACCCTCGCCGGCAGCCAGGGATTGAACCGGCACTGCAGAGGCTGCGGGCAGCCCAGGGCTCAACCACCGTGCCACCAGGGGAGGCCCAAGCTGTATTTGTTTTTTTTCTCACCTTAATATGCCCTTTATCATATGATGACTAGTTTTTTCTGTTCCCAAATGGTATGGCTAATTGCTGAGAAGAGGATAGCCAATCATATAATGTAGAAGGATTCTCCTCCTTGGCAAACTGCCAAAAACATTGGTAAAAGAGGAAGACAGAAGAAAGGAAATTGACATTTTTTGATGTGTGCTTTATGCTGGACCGTGGAAGAGATGTCTTCCAAACACACGCTTAAGATGTCTTCCAAACACAGGACAACAAGCAATGGGATTGACCCTGGACAACTTAGTCCATTTTCTTAGAGCTTTTGTTTTCTCATCTGTAAAATGAAAATAACAATGCTTAATCAAGGTATTTCTTGTGGTCCAGGAGAGAGTGTATGTCAGATGCTTAGACATCTCTCTTACATAGTAGGCAGACAGAAACCAATCTCGGTTGATTATGTATTTTTGAGAGGGGCAGTTTTGTTTTAATCCATTTAAAATACAACAGAACATCACGTCATTATTTTTTTTAAAATTAGCTTCCACCAGGAGACAGGCTGGTTTGGAGCTGTTTAATACTTTTAATATGTAATTTGCCTTCATTTTGGAAAACATAAAATGCTTCTTGGCCCAGATGGTAAGCTATATTTGCAGTATAATCCTCTTGGACTCTGAACTTGTGTTGGGCATGAAGTATCACTCCTACTCTGAAACCAGGACCCACTTCAGTATTAATTAACTTAGGTATGTATTTATTCATTCATCCCTCACTTATCAAAACAAATATTTATGGCTAGCCAAATAACACCATGTGTGAGGAGAGAAAAGCAAATGTGTCTCAGGGAAGACCATCTGGGAAGCAAGAGGGAAGAGTGTGTACTTGCTGTCTTCTGCCTGGTGTTACTCAAATTTTTGCTCGCTGGGACTTCCCTGTGCTTTTGCTCTCTGTCTCTGGGGGAGGAGGTGACTCTGCAGCTTCTGCCTCAGCATTTGCAGGGAAGAGCTAAGAAGGGGCTAGAGAGCATGAATGGGCATTCCAGCCCACTAGGTTCCCTGACTGATGATATTGCAAGATGCCCAAATTCACAGGATCCTCTTGGTAATGAGTCCACCCAGTCACCCTCATGTTCATGTTGATGGTAGCTATTTTTTTCACAACATTCTATGTAACAAGTTGGCTTCTTGTTATAATTCAGCTCTCTGAATGACTCTCTTGTGTGTTTAATGTGTGATTTTTCTGCCGTGTGATCACAGAATCTTTCTGTGATTCTTCTTTCCGTTACTGCTGGTCTCCAACTCACCACTCCACAGCCTCCAGCTGGTGGCACAGCCTTGGACCGGACCGTTCAACTGTCCACCCAGGGAAAACCAAACTGCATTTTGTTATTTCGTTCCTGGAATGTCTATTTTCTTCACATGGAGGAATTATGATTTTTTTTTTTAGGGTTCTCTCACAAGATGATCAAGATGACATCCATCTAAAATTAGAGGATATAATTCAACTGGTAAGTTCAGCTTTTCCAGCAGCACAATTATGTGCAAACTATTGTATTTCTCAAAGGCAGGCAAAATGCCTATAACTGGGTGTTTGACCCTAAGTTCTATCAACAAAGCTCTATGAGATGAACCAAACTTAGCTTGGAGTGTAGCAGTCAAGGCATGATATTAAAGTTGGCTGATATTTCTGAGCTTTCTGCATGTTCTTTCATAGCTAGACTATGACAGACTTAATATTTCAGCGGCTGCAGTAAGTTGATGGGATCTTTCTCTCTACCCTCATTTCTTACAGATGGACTATTCGAAGGCTGAGTGTTTTGAGTCCTTGTCAGCCATGGAGCTGGCTGAGCAGATCACGCTGCTGGACCACATCATTTTCAGAAGCATTCCCTATGAGTGAGTGCTGCTCTCCCAGCTGCAGGCCCCTCTCAGGCATGACTAGCTGGCTTAGACTTGTCTTTATTTGTAAGGCAGATGCATGTGTGAGGTGTGAGTCTTAATCTTAAGATGTTTGGCCCCATTTGAATGTCTTTTGGTTCCAGCTGGTGTTGGAAATATTGATTTGGAATTATTGAAGGCTTACAAGACGGTTATGTTTATGATTCTCTATGTATTACCATTACCAAAGAATGTGAATTTGTGTTCACATATCTTCACATTACACAAATCTCAGTATATATTGTGTTTTTTTAATATGTGTGTGTGCATGCATGTGTGTGCATGCATATGTGTGTGTGCATGCATGTGTGTGTTTCTCAAACTCTTGTGGGCCAAAATCACTTGGGAAACTTGTTAAAATATACATTCCTAGAAACCTGCCTTAGAGATCCTGATTTCAGTAGGTTTGAGGCCCAAGAAACTGTATTTTCATTGAGAATTCAGATAATTCTGGAATTTTAATTATTATTTTATAATATTTAATATTTTATAATTATACTTATGATTTTATAATAATTATTATTATTTTCAAGGTTTCATTTTGAAAAATACTGATGGTAGGTAAAACCATAAATTCCACTACAATCGCCCACTTACAAAAATCAGCAAGTATTGCCAAGCTGTGAGAGTGTGGGCTCATCACACAGACTTTTAATGTCCTTGTATGTAGAGTAAGGGGAGGCACTTTAAGCCCCCTCCCTGCTACCGTACTTGGTCACCCGACAAACATAGCCTTTGTTTGGACAAGTGGCAACTGTTCGCACAGGTCCTGTGTGGATGAGTAACTCAATTGAAAGTAAGGAAGGAGCTAAGTGAGAGATATGAATGTGACCCATGTATGTAGAGAAGAGGCCATTTGTAGTGATGGAGGGTCCAGCAGGGTGGGTGGTCAGAGCTACAGCTATACTGGAGAGACACAGGGGCAGTGCCAGAGGATGCTACAACAGATTTTTCTTTTATGCATTTTATCTTCTTTCCCTCCTCTTCCTTAAGTAGGCTTCGCCATGAAGATGAAGTGGGGGAAAAAATGAATGTGAATGAATCCAGTGGCTATTTGAAGACTGGAATTAGGAATCACAGTGACTGTCCCCTCCCCCACTTCCATAGCTGCCCCCCGCCCCTCGCCTCCTGACTACCCTCCAGAGTGGAGAGAAGTCAGGAGGGAGAAGAGTACAACCTCTATAGGAAAAAGAGCAAGGCCCCAATTTTCGTGGCTGCCCATGGTGTGGGCTCTTCTTGGGACCTTCCTCTCCATTCCCCTTCCTTATTTCCCTCTGTCAGTGTGAACATCTACCAATTATTCTCCTTCATGGCACTGGCACAACTTGGTGTCCAACAGCTCTGCAGAATGGGAGTAGCACCACGGACATTCAGGGATGAAGAATTTGGCACAGGGATTCAGTCAACATGTCTGGGTTAAGCATGTTTCAGAGTAATTTCATTTCAAGATTTTGTTTTTTAAATAATTTTATAATTTCTGTGTGGTCTATCTTGATTATCTATTGCTTGCAGTGATCTGATGACCTGCCCATGAGTGAAGTGATGGGGCAGGGATGTTATTGGGAAGGCAGAGCTTCTACCAGGTTCAGTTCTCACTGCTGTCCCTGCCTTCCTCAGATGAACCAGCTCTACAGTGCTAACTAGGAGTTTGCTTATTAAATGCTTATTTTTCTAACTCTGGGGAGAACAAAGGAAACGCTCTGCTCATGGAATTGTGATGCTTCTGGAGAATATCAGAACAAAGTGGAGGAAAATATCCTGTTCTTGATTAACATTTTTGGTTGAGCTGGTGTTTTTGGGCCTTCTGTAAAGGTTTAATTTTTTTTTAAGTTGATCCAGGGAAAATAGTCTTGGTTTCTGAATTAGTACTTAGCCTCTTTATTCCTTTTGTGTTGGTCATTGTTTTCCAACTACAGAGAAACCCTTATAATGATCTTTTTTATTTTTTTTTATTTTATTTATTTATTTATTTATTTTATAGAGGCATGTTTTATTTATTTGTTTGTTTGTTTGTTTTGTTTATACATGCACTGGGTACAGCCAGAAGTGCGGGAGGGTGAGAGAATTCACCAGAGCCAGAGCGGGGAGCAGAGCAGGCAGAAGGACCGAAGCACACTGCTGAGGGGAGCAGCGGGCGGCAGGAGAGGTCTGCGCACCATGCGGGACCCTCCTCCGGTGGCCGGGGAGCAGCCGGGGATCGAACCGGTGCCGCAGAGGCCGCGGGCAGCCTCGCCACCCAGCGCTCAACCGCTGCGCCACCGGGGAGGCCCATAATGATCTTAATAGAGACAAAATTCCAAACATTTATAAGACAAAGCTGGATACTGAAAAATCTTTTTCTTTGTGCCATTGTGTGGTGAAATGCTAGCGTCAAGCTAAAGTTCATTTGAGGTGGTCAGTAGTAGTAGGTGCTGGACAATGTCAGGCTTAACATATATGACATTTATAATAATCATTCAGGGCTATAGCTGTCATTTTAAAAAAATCCTTAATTTGTTTTATGTTCTGTTTTGAACTTTCAGAGAATTTCTTGGACAGGGATGGATGAAAATGGATAAAAATGAAAGAACACCGTACATTATGAAAACCAGCCAACATTTCAATGATGTGAGTAACCATAAAATAAAACCTTGCCTTGTACATATTAAAGAAAGAGGAATATCAAGGTCTTAAGATTCCTCTAAAATAAAGCAACTTGGCCACCCACTTGTAAACAGAACTGATAGAAGGTTAAAGGCAAGGTTAGGTCTCTAAGACTCACAGCAATGTAATAATTTTCAGTGACTTTCCAGACATTAAAAAGTTTGCCCAAGTCTGGTAAGATTTCACAAATGTATATAGTTCAATGTTGCTATTCTAATCACAATCATCATTACTTCCTGGTCATAGTTTGGTTCTAAGGGAATAAACATCACATGTGTCGCTGGCCCCTGGGGGAGCCCATAAGGTTGGATTGATGCACTTTCTCTTCATCATTACTGAACCTGCAACTCACATTCCAGTGTTGGAAGGGGCCTCTCTGAGCATCATTACTGAATTGCTGTGGCTGTATGCAATGGTAATCAGCCCATTTCACCACTCCATTTCTCCAGCAGTAAGATAGAGTTATTTTTATGCCCACCAACTCTTAGTTGGCTGAATTCTTAGTCCTGTGGTGGAATCTCAATTGTGGGAATGTCTTTGGGCCTCTGCAAAGGAAAGGTTCCCTTTGCAATTCAGTACAGTAAAACAATGATAATGTAAAAAAAAATACTATTAGGAACCCCTTAGATCAATTAGTACATCATTCAGAATCAAAATACAAAACAACAGTACTGATTCCCAAAACAGTCCTCTGCACAGGGCACAGGCATAGTACAAATGCACTGAGTGAACACTGGGACATGAGCATCAGTGTCACTGCTACCTAATCTAAGCCACTCTCTGAGAAGCGAGCCCCTGCTGTGGAAATAGACCTCTATAGCCTGCACTGGACAATCCTTGTGATGTATGAGATGTAATGAACAATCAAATGAGAAGTTCAACCCCAGATTTGAGACCACGTGTCTCCATTTGCATGGCCACTTGCATTGTGCCCTCAGCAGATTGCAAGTGAAACTTATCATCCACACTTCCAGACCAAGGCTGCTTCTTCATCTTGTTCTCTGTTCTTGGTCTTAGTGATGACCTCATTATACTCGGATCCAATCTAGACATCATTTTTGACTCCCTCTTCTCCCTTACCCATTCCACCCACATACACCCAACATGTTAATGAACCCCAAATGTACCTATGTCTTCTTTTCCTCTCCTTCCCCCCCCCATAACCTTCATTTGACCTTTTATCCTTTCTCTCAGGAGCTCCTACTCCACTCTTTCCACCACCATCTCACTGCCCAATAGCCCGTTCCTCATGTAGTGTCACAGGAACAAATTCTTGGAGATACCAATCTAATCATATCACTTTCTTGGACAAAAATTAGCCAGTGGCTTCCCCTCATCTTCAGGATGTAGTCTCAACTGCTCAGGGTAGCCTATGACAGCCACGTGTCATCCTTGTCTCTGATAACCCCGGTGCTACTTAAGGACTGCCGTGTCCTCCATCACAACCTGCCTTCTGCTTCTGTCCTTGTGCACACGCTCTTATTTTTTGATGGAAAATAGTGGCTAACTCCTGCTTATCTTTTTGGACTCCGTGCAGGGAATGCCCCTTTCCAGAAGCCTTCTCTGTGCTGTCATATGTCCATGCTGCCTCCATGTTCTCACAGTCCTCCACTCAGACTGTTCTGCATTGTGCTGTGTGGCCTTTACTTGCTTAGGTCTGCCTCCCTATAACTTCCTGCCCCAATAGGATCAGAGTATCTTCCAGACAGGGACACCATTTGTCTTTCTATTCCCAGCACCTGAAAGAATATTAGGTGTTCAATACGAAACAATTTCTTGGGAATGAATATTCATATTGATAATCCTGAGGCCCTGTGAAATCTAAAGTACCTATGGATCCAATTCTGTATGGATATCAGATTACAGACTACATTTCCCTTTGTTAGCAACCCTATTCTACCCCTTTTCTTTCCCTATTATAAGTGTTGAGCTTTTTAAACCACTTCTTTATCTTTCAGCTTTAATTAAAGGAATTATATACATAGCCTTTTCATTGTTGGTGGGGAGAAATCAGCAAGGAGAGAATGTTTCCTCTTCCCCTTCACCTAAGTGTTTCTGGGGTTGAGAGTTGATCAGGTAGAATTTGATTTGCTTGGGGATAAATGTGTTTTCTTTCTCTGTCATAGCTGAGACTTTCTAGAATGATTATCTCCACACTGTTGGGAGCCAACGAACCTGTGGAGAGGCCCCAAATAGTAAAACCCATGATCTGCAAAGGTTGCCATTCCTCAGGGGTTAGCTTTTTCTAAAGCATTTCCTTAATAATTGTTGGAAATAATTTTCTCATCAAAATTACTGATTAACAAAAGCACCTCTTTCCCCAACAAGCTGATTCCAAACAGCCTCTCTCTTTGAGCTAAGAATGAACAGGTGCTTATTAGTTTGTTATTATTACTACAGACTTTAGTCTCTTTAGAAAGTGGATACCTAAATACAGACTAGCATTCTTGCAGAAAATTCCGGTATTTTGCCTGCATGATGCACTGCCTTGGCTCTTAGCTGCCTCCCTTGGCTTTTTCCTTGTCTCAGATGAGTAACCTGGTGGCCTCCCAGATAATGAATTATGCCGACATCAGCTCCCGCGCCAACGCCATTGAGAAGTGGGTGGCAGTGGCGGACATTTGCCGGTGTCTGCACAACTACAATGGCGTCCTGGAGATCACCTCAGCCTTAAACAGAAGTGCCATCTATAGGCTGAAGAAAACCTGGGCCAAAGTGTCCAAGCAGGTGAGCATCAGCCCATGGCACATCCCGCTGCGGAGGGAGGAGAGATTGGGCGACCAGAGCCAAGATGAACATTACTAATTAGGAAATAATTAACTAAAATGAGCAGCTCAGTTGCCAAAGGAAGGTGCCAATGTGGGTAATTACTGTGTTCTTACCACCTAATTGATTCCACTCATGTGCATTTCTAAATGGTTAATTTAGAAAGAAAACATAACCAAAACATTCATTATAATATTTTTGGGGACAACTGCAAACAATGTGGTTGACAGTCCGTTGTTTCCTGAATTAAATATTTATAGACAGCACATTAATTCCAAATGTACACAGGATGTCAATGGATCAGTTTTTTCTCTACCAAAGTAGGGCTACAAATACCTTAGGGCCAAAAACTAGGGACAAAGGCCTCAATCTTGACCTTTTTCTTTATCAAGCTTGTAATAGATTTAAAATTTTGGCATAATGGATTATATGTGCAGAAAGATGGCTTTCTAAATTTTGTTTTGATTGGACTCAGATTGTTTATGCCTATGTTTTCGTTCAGATAATTTTAAGCTGCAAATTAAATAGCAATTTTCCCCTGCCTTCTCCTCTGACCTTCTCCCTGGGTGTCAGTGTGTGTTTGAAGTGAGGGGAGGGGTGACTTCTCCAGCCTTATAGGAGGCTGTTTGCACCTCTGGTTTCCATTTGTAACCTATTGTTGATTGGTCATTGGGCACAAGTGTAGGTGTGGTCAGTGGCCAGTGGTGACTGCACCAGGGAGCTTGGCTGATCTCACCTCCTTCTGCTCTCACTGATTGTGCTGATCCTCTAACAGGGGGTGTGTCTCTCTCCCTAATACAGGTCACCTTGGCCCTTGGCAATGCCTGCGCACAGACTGGCCATTCACTAAGAGATAAAGACCTGGGCCTTCTCAAAGGGTTTTGAGGAATTTTCTAGGTTCCTTGAAGTCCCATTGGTGCCAGAGGCTAGAGGATCTATGATAAGCCCCAATTTTCCCCCACTGACCACTGTTCCTGCCTTGTGACCACCCATAGTTGGTGAAGGGCATCTGTAGGAGGTCCACCTCTAAGGTTCCAGGTGGAAAGAACAGACATTATGTTGACATTTCATCAGAACTATCTGGTTTCTACTTCCCCCTCTGAGGATATAAGGCCTCTTAGAGACACCACTTCTTACTCTGCTCTGTCTGCTTTTCTCTTTCCAAACCATTTTTGCTCCTCCCTTTATAGCAAGAAACAAGCCTGAGTCATACCCTTTATCTCATTCACCCTTCCCCATTCCTAGTGGTACTCCAAGTTGCCAAAAATTTGACCCTCTAAAACTCAGGCATTCTTTTTCTGTGAACAAAGCCTGGGCCTTACGAGTAAAACCTACAGCTTTTGTAAATAGATTTTTGAAAAGAAAAATTTAATGATGTTGATAGAATCACATGCAGTTGTAAGAAATAACAAAGAGGGGTCTCCTCCACCATATATCCAACTTCTCCAATGCTATCCCAACCAGGAAATTAACATTAGTATCATCTACCAATCTTATTCGGAATTTACAAGTTTTACATGTACTCATTTTTGTGCATGTGTCTGCTCATTTTATGCACTTTTTTTACACGTCAGTACCAGCACAGTCAAGAGACAACACTTCTATCATGAGAACTCTCATGTCACTCTTTTAAAGCCACAGCTCTCTCCCTCCCTAACTCCTGGCAACCACTAATGTGTTTTCCATCTCTATAATTTTTAACTTTGTTAATCAGGAATGTTATATAAATAGAATAATAGAGTACAAACATTTTAAGATCACCTTTTTAAAAAACTCAGCATAAGGGCCTCTCCTGGTGGTGCAGGCGGTTGAGGGCAGTGCTGCGAAGCTGTCCACAGACTCTGCAGCGCTGGTTCGATCCTGGCCCGCCAGCGAGGGTCCCACATGGTGCGGCAGACTTCTCCTGTTGTGCCTGCTGCTCCCCTCAGCAGTGTATCTCATCAGTCTGCCTGTTCTGTTCCCCACTCTGTCTCTGGTGAGAGGAATCCCGTGAATCTGTCCTTACCCCGGTTCTTATATAAATAAATAAATAAATCTTTAAAAAAAAAACTCCACATAATTCCCATAAAAGCCATTCAAGTTGTTACATTTATCAATACTTAGTTCCTTTCTATTGCCAAGTAATACTCCATGGTAGAGATACACCACCCGTTCTTTAACCTTCACCTCCTAAGGACATCTAGGTTGTTTCTGGTTTAGAGCTATTACAAATAAATCTTCTATGAACATTCATGTATAGGTTTTGTGTGAACATAAGTTTTCATTTCTCTGGAATAAATGCTCAAGAGTGCAATTGCTGGGTCATATGATAAATTTGTGTTTAATTTTATAGGAAACCTGCCAACTCTTTTCCAGAGTAGCTGTACCATTTCACATTCCTATCAGCAATGCATGAGTGAACCAGTTCCCTTACATTCTTGGCATTGTCACTGGTTTTCATTTTAGCCATTTTGATATCTCATTGTGACTCTAAATTGTATTTGAAGATAGTGATGTTAAATATATTTTATGTGCTTGTTTGCCATCTTCAATGAAATGTCTGCTTATTATTTCTGCTGATTTTTAATTAGATTGTTTGGTATTTAACCTGAGATTTGAGAGTTCTTTCTATATTCCTCCTACTTTATTCTTCTGTTCAAGATGATGTTAGCTACTATAGATGCTGTGACTTTCCATATAATCTTAGATTAAAAACTGTGTCTAAAAACACTTCACTGAGATTTTCATTGTAATTAATCAAACATTAATTAATTAAATGTTAGTTAAACACTAATTAAACAAATCAATTTGGGGAGAATTGGCATCTCTACTATGTGGAGTCATACACAGAGTATATGCCAACATTTCTTTAGATTTTCTCTGAATTATTAAAACAACATTTTGAAATTTTCAGCATGTAGGTCCTTTATATGTTTTGTTACATTTATTCCTAAGCATTTAATATTCTTTGGAGAAATTTTAAATGTTATTGTGATTTTAATTTTGGTTTCTATTGTTCGTACATGCAAGTAATAGTGATTTTTTTTGTACTGGTCTTGTATCTGCCATCTTGCTAAGTTCACTTATTAGTTCTGGATTTTTTTTTATAGGTTCCTTGGGATTTTTTGCAGACAACTATGTCATGAGTAAATAGATACAATCATTTCTTTATTTGCACCTTATATCCCTTTTCTTTTCTTTTCTTGCTGTACTGCTCTAGCTGGACCTTCCAATACTATGTTGAATAAGAGTGGTAAGAAAGAACATTCTTACCTTGTTCTTGATCTTGTGAGGTAAAGCATTCAGTCTTTCACCATAAAGGATGTCATTAACTGTAGTTGTTTGCAAATGCTTTTTTCAAAGTGAAGGAGTTACCTTCACTTCCTAGTTTTCCAAGAGTTTTTAAGATGAATGGGTGTTGGAATATTGTTTTTAAAACAATTTAAAGAGCTATATCACAATTCAAGGGCTAGCTCCCTTTGATATGGCTGTTTTGCCTCCTGATAGAGCAGTGGTGGCCACAGCCATGGGCACTGGATATAATCCTGTCACATACTTCTTTTTCTATTGTCTTCACCTCTTTCTTTTTTACCTCTGAAGTTGACATCAAGGAATTCTTAAATCTTCTTTAAGAAAATGTTGTACCTTCTCTGTAGTTAAGTGATATGATGCACTTAACAGGATAATTGAAATTATTTTCAAGTTTTAAATATATTACCAGTAGAGGTAATAAATGGATTAGACAGTTTCAGCTGCATTGTGGATCACTCCAACTAGTTTTAGCACTTATGATAGACTTTCTTCCAGAGCCCAGTACTTACTTCAGTCATGGTAGGTCGAGTTGGTTGCAGATATGCCCTGTTTCAGACACTTTGGACAAGTCTTTCTGCTCTGGAGCCATTCCTTTTCCAGACTGAGTCCAGTCTGGGAGACATCCAGAAGTCTGATAGGATATGTATTTGGGAGCCCACCAAATTTAGTCTGTACAGATTGTATTTCTATAGCTTTCTTGAGCCAAGACCATTCCTGGGCCAGAAGAGGCCTGCCTACCCCCTACCTTTCCCCTCCAAATCTCTATCCCTTTGAGTCATTCTGACAGCTCTCATGAGGTTGTGCAGTACCTCTCCAGGCTGAGACAGAGTAGTCTGTAGACCTTATTCAAGGGCTTCTCCTAGGGTGTGGATATTATTGAAAGTGGGTTGTCATCTCCAAGGGTCACCCTACCTTTCCTCTTATGTCCTTGTAAGAAACTCCAAACCGATTTCAACATTTTCATTTCTTGGTAACTATCAGTTATTCTTTCTAAACAAATTGATGAAGATCATAAAAGAAAGGATTTGGAGTAGAGGATATTGGTTGGTCAATGGTGAAGCAACTATGTCTGTGCTTTGAAGACTTCAAAATTAACACTCATAAAGACTGATAATGAGAACTCTAACATGAAGCCCCTTCTTCAAGATTCTGCATCTGAAATGCACTTTTCAGTTCTTTAAGTTCTCAAGTTTCCTGGAATTATGATTTTTCTAATCTTTACATTTTTTTCCTCCTTTTTGGCTAAATGAGTAATGTAGTCATTTTCTCTTCTTTACATGTTCCTCATTTTTAAAAACTAATGCAAGCATAATGCCCCAAGTCTACACTTTGAAAATCATATCACATCACAACTGTGTGGCAAACTTACCAGCATCTGCCACTGAGAAGAGAATTGAACATCTTTTGGCAACTTACTTTCTTATCAAACCACAGGAGAATATTAATGACATACTAAGTTATTTGTTTCTTTCCAGACAAAAGCACTAATGGACAAGCTTCAGAAGACTGTTTCATCTGAAGGAAGATTTAAAAACCTCAGAGAAACCCTTAAAAAGTATGTCTATCTTAATTATTAAATTACTCTTGAATCACAAATTGATTTAAATAATTTGAATAGCACCTATCTCCTTTTCTTTGAAAAGAAAAACAAATGGGAAATAGCTTCATCACCAAGGTCTTTTTCTGATTTCCCTTTTCATTTGGAATACTGTGCATGTAGTGTTTTATGGGCATGGTCATGCAGAGTATTCAAAATAATAAAGCATCTCCACAATTAATCAACTATTTATTATAAAAAAGTTTCCTGATTCATATTTCATAATCTAAGTACAATGATTTCATGTGATTTTTTTAATTTGAATATCCTAATACCAATTGATAATTGTTATCTATTTGGGAATTTTATTATTTACTATTATTATTATTGGATCATTCTCTCTCTTTACACACACACCTATAAACACAGAGATTGAAAGAAAAACAGAGAATGACTAGACTGTTCTCCTACAACTGCTTTTCATATGATCTATCATATGGACTTGACATTTACTCTGAAAAGCTTTAATTCTGTGATGCTGTGAGTGAAAAACTCATAGTAATAATAACAATAGCAACAACAACAACAATTTACAAAAACTATGCACTAAATAGTTACACTAAATGACACACTTCATACTGAGTGCTTGATGTGTCTTATCTAAACTTCACAACAATCTAAAGAAATAGAGATGTTGTCTCCATTTACAGAGGAGGAAACTGCAGTTGAGTTTGCCCCTATCAGTAAGCTGGTCGGTGGGACTCAAACTCAGCTCTCTCTGGATCAAAAGCCTATGTTCCCCTATCCAGACTCCAAGAAGACCAGGTGTGCTGCCCCCTCCAAAACACATGCACACACACAAAAAAACACCAAAGGTTTCATTTCAGTGTGCATTTGCAATGTTAAGTCTACAGTTTCTAGAACATTTTAATACTAAAATAAAATTTACAAACTCTAATCACATTGATTTTCCCACCCAGTTCTTTAAAGTTGAACATTTACACTTTAATGAGGTGAAGACATAGGGGTTTCCCTACATGTTTCTGCCCTTCAGAGAAGTGTGGCCAATTTACAAATTTTGCAGAATAAGTATTGCTAGCAAATATTTTGGTTTTGTCTATAAGAATTCTGTTGTTTGAAAATGCCGTTGTCTCAAACACATACTAAAGCATGGGCTGTAATTTGGTATTATGAGATGTATTTAAGACTGCATATTATGAGTGTGTTTCTGAAAATGGAATTAAAATACTTTAATTTTTAGGGTTGAAGCAGTATAGTTGCTTCCTATTTAAACTGGGGAATGGGAGGGAAATCAACATTTGTTTGAATGAATATGAGAACAGTGTATCTTGGTCTTGCAGCTGTAACCCCCCAGCTGTTCCTTATCTGGGCATGTACCTGACTGACTTGGCATTTATTGAAGAAGGAACACCTAACTTTACTGAGGAAGGCCTTGTCAATTTCTCCAAGATGAGGATGGTAGGTCATAACTTCATAATCACCTTGTGTGAATGACATCAGTGGCTTATAAGAAGGGGCTATCATGAAAGTTATAGTTTGCTTTTTAATCTTGAGATGGAAGAGTTGGTGGACACTGATTCTAACAGCTGATGTTAGCAGATTGCAGAGATTACTGGCAGTGCCATTTCAGCTTGCAGTTTGGACAATGTGGATGGGTAATCAAGCCTCAGGGATGACATTTTAAGACTGACAAATGATAGACAGATGCCATAGTTTTCTTGCTGGGTTTTCATCATCAAGTTAGAAGCAAAGAGACCATCAACAATAGCATCCAGAACTTGCCACTCCTGAACCTGAGGCCACCCAGAGCCAGTTGTTCCCCTGATTGTGAATTCAGTGGCTTTTTGCTATTAGCATTTTGCCAGTTCAATGATGGGCAAGAAAGCCCTGAACGTAGAGAATGAACTGGCAAGGCTTCACATCCCTCACTGAAACTACCTACCTACCTCCTCTGGGATGGGCCCCCCAGAAGAACATGCTAAAGGACAAAAAAAATACTTTTGTTGTTATTTCTCTAGATATCACACATCATCAGAGAGATACGCCAGTTCCAGCAGACTTCCTATCGAATAGACCATCAGCCAAAGGTAATATTGATTGTGCAGTTGTAAGGATATTAATAAAGAAAAAAGTGGAAATTAATGAATAAGAAACAGTTGTAGAGTTGATCAATAATACCAAAAGCTGACTCACATAAAGACCAATAAAACAGGGCCTCCCCGGTGGCGCAGCGGTTGAGCGCTGGGTTGCGAAGCTGCCCGCGGCCTCTGCAGCGCCGGTTCAATCCCCGGCTGCTCCCCGGCCACCACAGGAGGGTCCCATATGGCGCGCAGACCTCTCCTGCCGCCCGCTGCTCCCCTCAGCAGTGTCCTTCGGTCCTTCTGCCTGCTCTGCTTCCCGCTCTGGCTCTGGTGAATTCTCTCACCCTCCCGCGCTTCTGACTGTACCCAGTGCATGTATAAACAAAACAAACAAACAAACAAACAAATAAATAAATAAAGCACGCCTCTATAAAAAAAAAAAAAGACCAATAAAACAGATAAATCTTTGGCCACTCTCATTGAGAAAGGAAATAAAAAGAACAACAATTTCTCATAAAGTTCTGATGATTTTACACCATGTATTTCTCATCAATCTATTGATTCACCACCAGCTCTTCTAGTCCAAGCTACCTGGTCTACTTGCATTCACTCTAGAATCCAAAATGCACTCTACAAATTACAGGCAGAGAGATACCTCTGAAACACAAGGTGGAGTATGTCTCCCCCTTTTTGCATAAAGTATTTTATTGGCTTCTTATTACTATTGGAATACAGAAAAAAAATCTTTTTTATAGTATACAAAAAACATGTTTATTACAAAAAGGGGGAGAAGAATAAAGGACACTTACATAGACTCAAGTGGGCAGAAAGAGCTGTCCCTGAAAGGGACAGGTTTGCTAAAAGAGAGGCCTGTATAGCCATAAGCGGGCAGCCTTAGGAGGAGAGCTGTCCCTGCTACAGGGAAAAAAAAAATTCTTGATGTATCCAGAAGTCTTATATTATGTGGTCTCATATTATCTCTCAAAATTCATCTTATGCCATATACCCCCTTCCATTCTCTATTTCAACTGGCCTTTTTAAAGATCTTTTTTTTTCCTGGTCTCTTATTTAGGTTTTCTAAATTCCTGCTATGAGTGAGACCATCCAGTATTTTTCTTTTTCTTTCTGACTTATTTTGCTGAGCATGATCCCTTCTAGCTCCATCCATGTTGCTGCAAACTGCATGTGTTTATCTTTTTTGATTGCTGAGTAATATTCCATTATGTATATGTACCACATCTTCTTGATCCAGTCATCTATTTGGGGGCATTTGGGTTGCTTCCATAGCATAGTTATTGTAAATAGTGCTCCTATAAACATAGGGGTGCGGATGCCCTTTGGAATTACTGTTTCTGTGTCATTTGGGTAAATACCTAGGAGTGGGATTGCTGGATCATATGGAAGCTCTATGTTTAGTAGTTCAAGAAATCACCACACAGCTCTAATCAATACAAAGTAAAAATCAAAATCATAAACAAAATCAAAAAACAAGCAACCATAAACCAGAGACACACTAGGTGAGGGGGAGGGCAGGATGGGGAAAGGAAGGACTAGTGTCAAAATAAGGGGGAGGTGCAATTGTATGGGGAATATAACCAAAATGAAAATGCATACATTGTGCAAAGATGAAAAAAGATGTAAGAATTATATAAAATAAAATATTTAAATAAAAAAAATACATGACAGATGAAAACGGCTCAAAAAAAAAAAAAAGAAAGAAAGAAATTAGCACTTCATATCTGAAATCTGAAGTAGACTTCTAATTGGTCATTTAAGAAAATAAAATTTTGGCTGATTTTATCAGAGACTCTTGAAAAAAAAAAAGATCTTTTTTTGCTTTACAGAAATATTGAGATGGTAGTACAGAAGAATCCCCTAATATTGTTCCCTATTATCAACATCCTACATTAGTATGATGTATTTGTTACAAGTAACAAACAAATATTCATACATTATTATTAACTAAAGATCAAAGCTTATTTATATTTCCTTAATTTTCAGCTAATGTCCTTTTCATGTTCCAGGATTGCATTCAGGATATCACATGACGTTAGTTTCAAGGTTCCTGTTGGCTGTGACAATACTTTAAACTTTCCTTATTTTTGATAACTTTGAAAGTTTTGAGGTATACTGATCATATATTTTATAGGATCACTTACTGTTGGGATTTGTCTGTTGATTTTCTAATGATTATATTGTATTATGGGTCTTTGGGAGGAAGATCACAAGTAAAGTGCCATTCTCCTCTCATCACATCAAGGGTGCATTCTAGTAACAGAGTTTGTGACTGCAATTGTGACTGCTGATTAAACCTGGATCACATGACTGAGGCGGTGTTTGTCATCTTCTCCACTGTAAGATACTCTGATTTTCTCCTTTCCTATACCGTGCTCTTTGGAAAGAAGTTAACATGTGCAGTCCACACCTAAGGAGTGAGGATTTATGCTCCCCACTCCTTGAGGGAAAAATATCTATATAAATTATTTGAAATAATTCTGTTTAAGAGATTTGTGTCTACTTAGTCATTTATATCCGTATGAACAGTTGGATATTTCTTTTATGCTTTGGGCTTTAACCCAATAATACTTTATTTTGTTGCTGCAGGTATCATGTGGACCACTAGATACTCTTTCCATTGATTCCTCTGACAAACCTCTGTCAATATGGGGTTTTTCCTTCCTCCCTCCTCCCCTTCCTCCCTTCTTTTCCACCTTTATCTTTACTTATTTTCAGCCATTATAAGATGCTCTGGACTCATCTTGTAAATTTTTGGCCTAGTTTCCTAGTTCTCGAATCAGTTATTTCTTCCAGAAGCCCTAGTTCCTATTATTGGAGATTTGTGTTAGAATCCAGCAATGGATACTAGATGTGTTCTTTGCTACTAGGTATTGTTTCTGTTAGACCCTGTCAACAGATTGCATACAAAAATATATATGTATATACTAAGCTATGCATTTACACATATTTATAAATATATCTATATAACTATATTTGCATTAAGTGAAACACAAGTGCATGTTGATGCCTCTAATTCCATCCCATCACCACAGATTATTCTAGCCTCTCTTCCTTCCACATATACATGTTTGTATGCAATTTCCTACTCCAATACTGAGAGACATCCTCTTCTTTAATAGCCTCTTGTTTTTGCCCTATTTCTTTCAGCCACAAGGTCTTTATATGTATGTTCCCTATGTCTGGGGTGCCTTTCCTTCCTCATTATGGTTAACTGGTACACAGCTTAAATATGATTTTCTCAGGAATATCTTCCCTAACTTTCCCCACCCCCTCCCTATAAACTTTTATTGCACTATGTACTTCTCCTAGTAGCAATTACTGGAGTTACAATCTTACATTTATTTATGTGATAGTGTACATATGCATACCACAGATGAGAGCCAAAATCCTGTCTGTTTTGTTATAACCCCGGCAGCATCATGTACAGTGCCTGGATCAGACTCAGTAATAAATATTTCTTGAATTAACTAAAGTCAAGAATAAGACAAGTTTGTCCCAGTCACTGTTAATAATCAGGGTTGACTGGGGAAAAAAACTAGCTATGTATAAGGCAAAAAAGAAGTTAAATTATAAATTGTGAAAGGTAAAGATTAAGTGCTATTATCCACAGATGATTTGATTAGCTACCTAGAAAATCAAAGGAAAAACTGCAAAATCTTTAAGGAAATGTGGCAACGTGACATCTAATAGCCAACAGTATTAAACATGGTAAGAATTTATTGAAATGTGATAGAAAAAAATCTCACCCAAATAGCAACAAAATCTATAATACCTACCATTAAGTAGAACAAGAAATAAATAAGGTCTTGGGCCTCCCCAGTGGCGCAGCGGTTGAGCCCTGGGTTGCGAAGCTGCCTGCAGCCTCTGCAACGCTGGTTCGATCCCCGGCCACCGGGTGAGGGTCCCATATGGTGCGCAGACCTCTCCTGCCCTCCGCTGCTCCCCTCAGCAGTGTACTTCGTCAGTCTGCCTGCTCTGCTCTTCTCTCACCCTCCCGCGCTTCTGACTGTACCCAGTACTTGTATAAATGAATAAATAAATCTTTAAAAAAGTCTTACATATTAAAAAAAAGAAATAAATAAGGTCTTTATAAGCTGTAAGACAAAAGAAGTACTAATCAGAGATACATAATATTCATGAATCAGAAAACTTGATATTATAAAGCTATCATATTGTCCTCAATCTATAAATTCATTGAGATTTTACTGAAATATCATTAGGGTCTTTCATGGAGCTTGACAAATTTATCTGAAATGCATAAGTGAACAAAGGCCAAAAACAGATGAAGCCTTTTTGAAAAATGAAGACTAAGGAAAAGCTTTTACACCAGATACAGAAACATCTTAAAGCTATAATGAATAAAACAGAACCATATTGGCACAGAAATATATTCTGTAGAACAGAATGAAGTCCAGATACAGATTTCATCTATCAGAAAATTGGATATGGGATAAGGAAAGCATTTAAAGACTGTGCCAAACACTGACCATTCAACAAATTGCATAGGAACTCCGGCTCTCTATCTTATACCATTCACAGAAATAAATTTCAGATGAATCCATTACCTAAATATAAAAAGGAATATTCACATTATTTGAATAAAATATTCATGAATTTTGGATTTGAAAGACTTTCTCAAGCACAGAATAGAAAATCTGTGAAAGAAAAATTTGTAAACGGAAAATAACATTCTATATCAAAATCAAAGCCTTCTGTATAACAAAGGGTAATTATTTTAAAAGGCAAAACAACAAGCAATAGAGTAAGAAAGAATATTTGTAACATGTAAAACAAAGAGAAAGATAAAAATTTTCCTTTAAATTGATAATAGAAGCATAAACAACTCAGTAGAAAACCTGAAAAATTATAAACAGGTAATTCACCTAAGACGAAATAAAAATGGCCAATTAAATATGCATCTATGTTATGACTCAGCAATTGCTCACCTAGGTACTTATCCAATGTAGAAATAATAGCATGCTTAATAAAAATCTTGCACAAATGTTCATAGCATTTTTAAATAATGGCCAAAAATTGGAAATATCCTATGTGTTAATCAACAGATGAATATATAAACAAATTGTGGCATATCTGGACAATGGAATACTACTCAACAACAAAAAGGGACAAACTACAGATACATGCCACAACATGGATGAATCTCAAAACCTATCGAGTGAAAGGAGCTGACACAAAAGAATATATACTTTCTGACTCCATTCATATGAATTTCTAAAATAGACAAAAGCAGTATTCAATGCAAGAAATCAGAAAAGTGATTACGCCTAGAATCAGATTGACTGAGAGAGAACTTCTGGAGTAACAAAGTCATTCTATAGGGTGACATATGTAAATTATGTGGGTATATACATTTGCCAAAACTCATCAAACTATTACTTTGTTAATGTTTCAATGAAAGTGTTGAATTATGGCAGATTCCATTCAGAATATATATAACCTTGTGTTCTGAAAGAACTAAAAGCTAGGATTTCCCTTTTCCTCCAGGTCACTCAGTACTTACTTGACAAAGCCCTCATCATAGATGAAGATACGCTGTATGAGCTGTCACTAAAAATTGAACCCCGACTCCCTGCTTGAAGATCCAACTTTACCCCTGAGTCCATGGAGTTTTCATGGAAAGCAGGATGGATAGTACTGTGCATGTCATGCCTCCCACAGTGTCGCCAGGATGGAGGGAAATGAAGCCAGTCTCCTTTGTCCACCAAAGAGGACAGAACTGAACTTGAATTCTGTCTCCAGCCAGGGAAGCCCAGCTTTTGGGGCATCAAAAACAGAAGCTTCAGACTTGGGTGGGAAGGTGAAAAGATGCATATTTAATCAAGCAGATGACACATTTTGCCTAAGGGAATGTAAGATGGGAGATGCTGGTGACCATGTTAATGAAGCAGGTAAGAAGTGATATTTCAAACACTGCCCCACGTTCTGTTAGACTTAGGGGCAAAGAATCCATGGACAAGACCTTCTTCGATGTTTCTCTGGCACTTTACTGGCCTGGGTGCACCTACCACTCATCTAGAACTGAACTGCTTCCGTGACATTCCTTCCTGACAAGCTTCACAGAAAAGCCGAGGCTTCTTTCATAGGGATAGGCTGACACATAGGCGATTTCAGTCTACAGCATGTGCATGGTCTTCAGTGCATTATATGTATTTATACTGGAGGAATGGCATGTTCTGAAGCTGCTTTTTTTACTGTTTAGGTGACAGGACAGAATAGAAATGAACTTGATGAAAATGAACTTGTATGAAACATTTCCTTAATTAAAAACTCAGTAGACTTTGCCCCAAAGGATTCCAACCAGTGGCTGCTTAAGGTGGGTGGGGTGGAGGCTTCTTCCTGAAGTTTGTGATGCGCCAGAAGCCAGCACCCTTGGAGAGGTAGGTGCAGCGTTTTGGAAAAGGTGCCTGTACACCTCACCGACAAAACTGTGGAATAAGACAGAAAGTCACAAAGTGCTGTTGGGAAGAGTGGTTTCAATACTTAGTGAACAGATAGACTTAAAAATCATCTCTGCACCTTGTTATGGTTGCTTTCTTCTTCCCCCTCCTAGTACTGTGAGAATCCATTCTGATTTACACAAACCATTTTTAGTCTCTCTATTAACATTGGATGTATTTTTTTAAATTATCTAGTGGAATTTTCTTTGTTAGAACCCATGCTTCCATGTACTGTTGGTAGACAGTTCTTCCCCAATCCTCTTTGCTTAAAACATGATTTTGAGATATTTCTGAGTGAAAATTTTGTAAGCGTATGAAAAATGGGCCCAATCACTCAATAGCTCTCACATCACAGACCAAATGCAGGGGTTAGTCTTGGTACCTTGGGTTGGGAAAGTGACAGGGCTTTCCCCAGGATTGTCAGTTGTTGAAAAAATAGGGCTAGTTCATGTTTACCTCCCTCTTATCTTCTCAGGGAGACCTCTGCTTTAAAAAAAGGAAGAGAAAATATTGTTATTTTTACCCCAACCTATTGCACCTATTGACATTTTCTCTTAGAGGCATGAAATGTATTGATGCTGACAACGAAAAAAATGACCTGTGTGTTTTCCCTTTCTTTGCACTTTAATTATGTTGTTTAAGCTAATGGCTGACTAATGACTTCAACTTGCTGGCGCATAAGACCCAGTGGGAGCACTGACATTGATAATGTACCAAGAGGTGGAGAATGTATGTTTTCCCTGCATGGTAAGGGCCATCTCTGTACATAACTACATAGTGAAATATCCTATAAGTAAAAGAAAATATTTGTCATATTTGAAGGCCAATCAAAAATATTTTCAATAGCTCATGTTAGCCAACATTGTAGCACTAAACCCCAAAAGGGTTACTGATGGATGCTTAATTTCTTTTTTAAAAAAAGTTGCTTGTTCTCTTTAGTTTCACCTAAGAGGTTGATGCATCTTAATGCATGATATGAAGCATGGGTTGCTTGGATCCTAACCATGCATAACTTACAATTTATTTCTCGGTGTTCAGAAATTGAGGGTTTGAACTGATACATGTCAACTGCACCTAGCACTTCAAGGTCTTACAGAAGAAAAGGAAAGGTTAACCTTCTCATCTCCAAAACATAGTTTTGGTTGTTGAACTAAAAACAACAAATTTAGTGAAAAGGCCACATACGTAACAGTTTCAGGCAAAACAACACGTGGAAAGCTCAGTATATTCAACTCTGCTTTGGAGCCCCCAGTCTTCTGGAATGAGAGGGTGGCTCTGAATGTACCTTCCCTGGAAGCTTAGACTCTTAGTTTTAACCCAAATGCTCCAGTCATTCTTATTAAGGAAAAATAGGAAATAAAGATATTTACAAATGCTCTTCCTCTTTTGGAGGGCAGATTTTCCTCAACTGTTGACAAAGCTCTCACACCTGTTTTCTGCAGAATGTTGGAAGTGCCCCCCAGTGGTCAGCTATGACACTATCAATTGCTATGTTGATCTTTAGTGTTTTATTGTTATATGCCCTTCTTGCTTCTCAGAGTCTGAAGCCTAACAGGAGCTGCGAGAAAAGAGAACTCTGCCTACAAAGGCGTTCCTTTTGATGACCTGTGTCATTTCAGGGGCAATTGAGATAGGAACACACATTTAAAAAAAAAAAAACAACAAAAAAACAACCTCAGTTTAGTCACATTTAAAATCCCCAAAAGTATTTGTGGTGTCTCTTCTGATTGTTGAAGCACCTATCCTCTTCTGCCTTGAAAGTTTGTGTGTATTGTTAGGATGTGCACACCCAGCTGCATCTGCCCATGTTCCATTATTTGAGACCCATTTATAAGAGTCGATGGAAGATTAGCCTCTAACAGCCAAGTAGCAAATACTTACATTACTGCAAAATCAGCCTAGAAAATCAGAAGTAAATCCAATTTCATGCTTTCAGATGAATACCCACATTTTGTACTGTCAATGAAATTATTTTGGGACTTTTTTGGGGGGGAGCTTTGGCTAATAACTAAGGCAACCCATTTTGCTACTGAGACAAATTCCTTAAGTCAATATTTTATATGAGAGATTTGGGCGTTTTATTTTAAAACAAAGAATTTTAAATTATTTTGCTTTGCTTTTAAAATTTAATTTTATTACCCCTGAAAAAAATCTTTCTCCTTGCCTTCAAATATAACAATTTGTAATCCAAACTGTAAAATTTATTACTTTTACTACTATTAAAATGGGATAAAAGATACCATATTATTTATAACTAAAAAATAGAGCCAGGCTAATGTCCACTGTCAAAAGGAATAAATAAGTAAGAGTCATTATTATTTCAGCAAGATAATAGATTATAAGTTTAAATAATGACTTGATTATAGATGTTATAGATGCCACTATATGAACCCTGGTAATAAGACTTGGGTCCATGAAATCTAATCAGAGTATCATTTCTCTGTGTCTGTTAGGTGGGACAGAGTAAAGTAGAAAACAACTATTTTATTGTAGGCATAAAAAACATGAATAAATTCAGAAAATTATTCATCTTGGCTGCCATACAGCATGATATTAACATTAGGGTTGATTGTACTTGATCTCACCTGTTCAAGAAAAATAATAGTTCTACTTTATGAGGCTGAACCATTATCTTTTACACACTCATTTCATATTGCCTAGAAAAGCAGTTTTTATAAAGGACTGAACTAGACTTCCTAGCCCTGTGCCCTGGGGTCAGATCTGCATCAACAAGCTGGGAAAGGATAACCCAGTGATAAAACCTCTCTAAACCTCAGTTTCCTCATCTGCAAAATGGAGTTAATAGTAATTCTTGTGCTCCGCATCTCATAGGGCTGTCATGAGGACTAGATGTGAACCATAAAGTGTTATCCAACTGTGAGGTAACATGATTACCAACCTCATCTTTCTTTTGTAGAGGATTTAAATGTAGTTCTTTGTTATTTGTGTGTGTGATGAACAAACCCTGTGTTTTTCTGAGAAGTATATTGTTTGTGTGTAATTACTTTGTAAATCTAACATTTGGGACTCTAAGAGGAGTTCGTGCTGTGGCCTAACACTTGCTGGATGAGGTGTGGTTTATGCCTATATGAAAATTAAACATTGCCTTTCTTGAATCTCAGACATTTCATTGGTCTCTTCAGTTACTTCTTTTTGCATTTTTCTACACTGTCTTCTTCATAGCAATGGGCTCATTCAGATATATATATATATATTATTTCTAGAGTTCAAGGGCTAAGAAGTTTAGTAGAAACCATGTTGCAGGTACTTAAACATCATAGAATTTGCTGAAATTCTAAAATTTGATAAAATTCTAAAATTCTCAGAAAAAAGATACTAAGGATTATCTAGTTCTGCTCTTTCCAATGCTCAAATCTCCTGTGATGTCCTCAGCTTATGTTTGAGTACCTCCAGGCATAGAGAGCTCTCTATTATTACCCAAAGAGTTCTGATCCTGTAATAGCGCTCAATCCTTGTGAACAGACTGTAGAGAGAAGAAAAGACATTGAAGGGGACAGCTAGTCCAGCCAGCGCTAGCTCTGACCTTGGATGGTCACTGGAGTAATCTGAGATGAAGTTCCTCATCTATAAAATAAGACTCATATCTGCCCCCTAGAATTGACTACAAGGAATAATCTATCTGAAAATACTTTAACGTTTGTTAAGCAGATGAAGTCATAACATTTTGAACCGAAGAAATCACAGTGCATCTAGCTGTTGAGCACAGAAGAGGACTGAGGAAAGGAAGAAAGTGGGTCCTTCCTATCCCATGAGCTTCCTTTCCCAACTGAACAATCAGGCTGATGGGGTTCTCAGGAACCCAGATTCCTTTGACCTTATTACTTGTTCATCTCATGAGAGACTGCCCTTGCTGATGGTCATATCTGGTCCCTCCACACCCAGGCTCCAGTTGGATTCAGGAATGGATAAGAGAGTAAGGTAAGTCTAAGAATAAGAGATTTCTTTATGATAAACAAGTGATATGGCAGTTGTGTTTCTGGCCCTATGGCAAGAGCCAGTTGTGTGGTCACTCTAGCCAGTAGATAAGGGTGGAGTCCCCAGACTTTGAAGGGAGTTGAGCATACTGAGAAGGGAAGAAATAGCATAGGACAGGGATGGAGTCTGAAAGACTTTCAGAAATCTGGCATTTCTGCTGTAGTCATTTGTAGAGGTTCCCACCCCTATCACGCCACCTTTATAATATGCTTGAAGATGACCAGGTCCCCAAAAGAAGAGTGGCACAACCTTTTCACAACAATGTCCTAACTTACCAGCTTTTCTAACCTTAGCTCACTGTTAAAGATGAGGGTTTAAGGTAAGATGTGTGAAGGTTTGTGAAGTGTGTATTAGGGAAGGAGCTGAGTATCCATTAGTAGGGAATTGGGAAAAAAGAAAATGAAGTTTGTTTTGCTATGCTTTAGTCTGCATTTCCATGCTGGTGAAAACCTTATGGTTTTATGGGTCTAGAATCTGGACTATTTCAGGGTCACTGGACTTATTTCACTAGGTGTCTGAACTGACTTGAAAATGTGTGTTCAGAGCTATTTTGGAAGAAATGAGCCTAGACTCCTCCCAACCCCCAATCTGCAGAGCCGCCAGCTGGCACCTGTCAGCCCACATACCCCACTTAACTGCCTGTTCCACTAGGGGAGCCCCCTAGAGGCTCAAGAGACCATAGTCCACCAAACTGGGACTCCTTATAGAGGAGTCCTTATAGA